TACAGGGACAAGGGCATAGAGAAGTAGTCGGGAGCAAGAATGATTGTTTTATAAGAGCCTCCAGTAGGAATATTAACTTGTAGAAGTTAACTGAGTATCGTTCTGTTGGTTGAAATTACCGCAAATGGCGAACCATGTGATGACGGGAAAGAATGCACATTACTCGACCCGGACTTTTGATACGAATGCCAAGCATATATCCATTATTTTGCCAATTGGCAGTTTGTTACTTTGGAAAAGTGAACCCGTTCTAAGTAGCAATAATTAGTCTGCAACGCGCTAACCTAAAAAAGGCTGGAATGAGCGGGCATCTAAAGAATCTGTTAATCCAACTGAAAAATTAAATAGTTAAGTACCTACTGTCGCTTACATAATCCTACTTCGGCTAAAAAGTACACGTATGCTTCGCATACCTCTTCCGTTAAATGAAATAAAGTTCGGACACAAGGTGGGTCTCCCACGCTGCAGCTGAGCACAAAATAGATTCCAGGGGATTCCTGTTCCCTTATCCTTACTTCAATCTTAGCCCTAACCCTGAGACTCGCACACATAGCCCTGGCTCTAACCATTCTAACCTGACTTTGACCCTAACACTAATGCCAAACCTAGTCCTAACCTTAATCTTAACCTTTAATGCGTGTTACCAAACCCTTCGTTACTACGGCTTAATTTGCAGAAATATTGTCGGTAACGATCGGGAGATGGCACCCAAAAAATCCGCCTAACCAAAGCAACCTGTCTTACGGGACAGGTGATAATAGGGGTTTTATGGGTGGTGGCTGGTCGGTATGTACGATACTAGCCGACAGAAAGCCTAGTTTGCACAGGTGAACGATCGAAGTTAGCCCGCTCTCCGGTCCGTTATTACAAAATTGGTCGCCAAAGGCAATGTAATGGCAACGGACGAGTGGAAGGCGTATAATCGTCTTACCTCAGAAGGTTATCTACATTTAACTGTTAACCACTCAAAGAAATTCAAGGACCCTACCACCGGACGGCACACCAATGCTATTAAGGCATACTGGAGTAGACTGAAAAGGAAACTCCACGAGGGAGGCCCTGTATGTGGTCGAGCTGTGTGGTCTCACATAGACGAAGCACAGCATCGTCTTTGGTTTGGCTTCAATGCCATGTCTTTGACAGATGCCCGGGAACTGTTCCTGTCCCATGTTGTGCAGACTTATCCTATTTAAAAGTGATATTGTTTTGTGATAAACTGCCATAATGCCAATGTATGCCGTATATTCAGGTGTACGTTTGTAACGATGGGGAAGGTTGGGTAACAGCGACCATCGTCCATGTAACCTCCTGCGATGTTTGTTCGGCCAGCCCATGTTAGGCCGTCGGGGAGAGTCCAAGTAGTGCGTGAAAGTAGGCCTGCAACCGCTGATATAGGCTGAAGGCGTTTGAGTCCACTGTTAAAGGTATTATTTCTAGGTAACGGATTTTTTTGGATGCCATCTCCTGATTGTTATCATATTTTAATTGATGCTACGGACAATTTCAGAGGACCGCCTCTCAGGAACAACCCAGAAATATGGTGCAAATCATGATCGAAATGTTGAATGTGTGTAAAAGTGATTAATTTTGCAAATTTTCTCTCTTTAGTAAGGCTACGAAAATATTCATCCGTAAAATCCGGCATTTGGCACAACTGGCCTCTTCTTTTGCCAAGTCAGCTCCAACGAATGCACATTTAGTATAATCAGAGGCAGTGAAAGCAGTGAGCACATTTGCACTTACTTCAAGACTGTCGAATGAGAAGACAACGGTGAATCCTGTGGGGACTTCAATTCTCCAGATGCACTCTTTGTCCGGCAGGTAATTACTCTCGTAGAATGAACTGTTGATGACACCGCTGTCCGCTTTGATATACGTGCCGCAAACGACTGGTATAGAAAAATCAACACATTTTTCCTTTTTAGGTGATTTTGATCGTTCGACGGATAATGAGTATGAAAGGGATAGCTTCCTTATTTAATCACACACCACGGAAATAAATGTCCTAACTAAGTTTTCGAATCTTTCACCGAGATGCGCTGAAATATCACTTTGTTAAGATCACTGGAGTCCGCAGATCATTGAGTAATTTCTCGAAAATTCACAGGCAACGTCCCAGTTCTGAAGTTCGCATTGCAGCAGTCCAAGCTTTGCTAAGGCTTTTGCATGATGCATGATGCCACAACTACTGAGGGGTTCGGTTACTCACTGGGTCCTACAGCAGTCTTTACTGTTTTTCAGGTACATGAACTCCAAATGCTCATATTAGACCAATTATTAGACTAAAAATATTGGGGAGGGATCATGGAACTGGACAAAGGTCACGAACAGACAGCCAACTATCAGACCGGATTCGGTCAAACTATAATATCAGAGAGATGATACGACAGATGAGCGCATTAAGATATTTAATTAGAAACAGACTAGGTTATTTTGGAACAAAATAACATTTGACGCGCAAATTCTTGGAAGTGGTCCCCCAACTCGTCGTCAGGCGTCGTAATAATGTATGAAACATTTCTCCGCCTTACTGAAGAACTCGTCCAAACATACGACGCCGATGTGCCTGCGAACGTTTTTTTAAATTCCGTGATCTCTGTCTAGGGAAGCAAACTTACACTGTGACGAACAATACTATCAAAATTTAAAAACCGCTCCCATGGGATCATCAACACTTGGTTTTTTGGCGGAAGCTGAAATGCAGAAGCTAGAGGCTACAGCTCTCTTCACAGGCAACCCAAATTTGTGGATGCGTTACGTAGACGGGGCATTTATTATCGTCAAAAGATCAGTAGTTTCCACTCGGAGTGCCCAGGAAATCAGTAAACTGTCGAAACGGAGGTTGATGGATAACTCCCAATCCTAAATGTTCTGGTACATCCAAAGACTGGCGGAATGCAGCAGTCATATACTCTGAGACCATCTTACATCTTAAAGCAACCATCAGATCCCCCATAAACGTAGCTTTGTTAACAGATCATTACGTTAATTTAAAAGCCACTGTTCCAATAAGGTGATTTGCCGGACATAAGATAAATACCTTTATAAAATATTTCCGTCTAGAGACACAACGACAAAACGTCAAGGTATTTTCAGAGGTATGACCACCCCGAAGTGAAAACTAACTGGATGTCGAAATCTCTCCTATGTACAGGATGTATCTGAGCTCTTCAAAGGGCAATGATGGAAACAGGCAATGCATGAACCTAAAATTACATTCTATGACAGTTTTGACTGTGTGGGTAGGCAATAAATTGTATACAAGATCACCTATGCCAGTTGTGGCACAGTCTATTGTGGTCAGACCAAGAAATCTCTCTACAGCTCCATACATGAACACATTTAGTGGTAAAGAGATTCGACCATGATCGATGCCTTGTGGTGACGAAACGAGGACATATATGTGCCTGGAAGAAAACTCGCATTGTTGGCGTCTGCCCATGAGGCAATGCGTGCTTGCTCCTGGAAACAATTGGCCCAGCCGAGGCATGTATAAATAGGCCTATCGATTTAGAGGCTGCAAAAAGAATTCTCAAGGAAAAATGGAGACAGATATAGTCAACCTCGAACCATCTCGCCCCGATTCATTTTACCCAACAAGGGCTGGCGATAACAAGCATGCTCACTTCTGTAGTTGGCCACAAATCCACTGCTAGACAGTCCTGAAGGCCGTCTGTACTCGATCAGCATCCTTGGGCTTAAAGAGGTCAACGTTGGTGGAAGGATGGATCCACAGTACCGACCTGAAGAATACAAAAAGCAGGTAAAAGCGAAGTCACTACGTGCATATGTGGGAGAAAGTTGAAGGCTACGACAATTTTGCATGTGTGAAAATCATATTCTTTCGGGAGACGATCAATTTCATAAGCATTAACATTGTTACTATAAAATGCCTGTTTTTT